TCTGCTAGCCCCCCGTGCTTGTACACGTCTCAGGGGTTTTCAGTGCTATAATCTACCCTCTTGTTATGTTTGGGTTTCTTAACCGATTAGCAACACCTTGCCCGGGCTTCCCGTAGTTGTTACCCTACGGGCCCTGGAAACCCCTGTCTGGGCTCGGGGGACCATTGATTGTGTCTTCCGGGTTCCAACCCGTCTTGTACGGGATCGTTGGTTGCTGTTCCCTTGTCTCCGGGTGACAGTCGCCATTTTTACCTCTGTCATGCTGCCTGTTGGGTCACTGACACCTTGACCCGGAGTCTTGCGAGTGATTCTCTGCTTGTTCTCCAGTACTCTCCTGATGTTATTACTGTTCAGAGTACAGGCGGCATCCGTGTTGCAAGCTAGGTTAGGTTGCTGCAACATGCTAGGTTGGTTTCCCACTTGAATGCCCGTGGCCGCCCCGTTTGGTTTGGTGCTGCTCGTCCCTTTCTCTCCATGTTCCCGGCTCCGGACCGTCTGCGGGTCGGGGCGGGGTTTAGTTGCGGCAGAGACTCGGGCGGTTTTCGGGGGCTGCCCCGTTCGGGTTGGGGACGGAGGTTTGAGCCTGTGCCTCCTGCCAAGGCTTCTGGGTCTTACCAGCGGCCCTTTCTTGTTGCCTTTCCCATGGACTCTTGCTTTTCTTTAAGGGCGGAGGGCTTGGAGGACGGCTCTGCCCCGGGGCCTCTGTTGTTGGTTCCCGGGGCTGTGGGGGTTGCCTGCTAGCAGTTCTGGGGCGGTTTTGCCCCTTCCGGGGTTTTTCTGCTGTTGGGCGACGTTTTTCGCCCATCCAGTCTGCTAGCTTCCCACATTTGCTGGCGTGTTTTTGTGTATTTAGCGTCAGTCACAGCCCCTGCTGGCGGCCATTTTCGTCTGCCGGTTTCACGGCGTGGCCACCAGGGCGGCGTTGCGGTTTGTTTACATGCGTCTGGGTGTGCGAGCGAGCGTCTCTGGTGAGTTTTCAAATTTTTGTCAGGGTTTTTGTTCTCCTGTTGTCGTTTCTTTGTTTTTCTGGTGTTTTCTTGCCGTTGCCTGTTCCTCTGGGAACGTTTGGGTGTTGATTTTGGGTCTGAGCCTGTGGGTTTAGGCTCAGTGCCCCTGGCTGGTATGCTTGCTCCCACACCTTGCCCCTCGGTTTTTGGTTTGTTGGGACCGTTTTCCCAGGGCGTTCTGCTGGGGGCTGTGCTTTGCCTTTCAGTGGTGTTCTCCGCCGGCAAATGTGGTGGTTTGGGCTCCCCCTTGTTCGATTCTGGGTTCCTTTGGGTTCCTTGGTTTCGTTCTGGAGGTTTCTTCCTCTTGGGCCCCCTTTTGTGGGTTCAGGGGACTTTGTTTCCTTGTGTGACCCGGTTCTGCCCTTTGGGGTTCCGGGGTCTTCCTGGCTTGCAGACTGATCTTTTTGGGTCTTGGCACATGTTGTGGTTGTGCTGGGACTTTGTGGTTTTGCTGTCGAGGTGGGCCTTTTGATGCAGTTTTGTGCCTTCTTTGCTTGGCCGGCGTAGTGCTCTCTGCCACTAGTCGGCGACTTGTGCTTTTACAATATATGTCCTCACCTAGTTGTGCTTGTGGGGGTTGAGCTCTGACTCCTTGGTCCTGCCTCTCAACCGTCTATCAACAGGTGTATAGGTTCCTGTGCCTTTTGGGCTCTGTCATGTCTCCATGTGACATGGTATGGGGGTCAGCCTCGTTATTTGTGTGTGGAGTCACCACATTACTTCCTAGTGCTTTCCCGTTCCCATTCTGACACTAAAAAAAAAAAAAAATTAAATTCTATCTGTGGCTCTTTTGGGTACTCAGTTTCCACCTGTGTCCCCTAGTGCGTGTGCCCCTTGTGTTACATAGCCTGTCCTTATCAACCCTGTCGATTCCCTTGGGTATCTTGACTGTGGTGATCTGGTCTCCCCTCACTTCATCTTCCAGCGAAGTGTGGTTTCATTCCCGTAGTCTCTCCTCATGACTTCGGTAGTGTACTTTTTCTTTCGGAAGGGGTTCTGTTCCCTTCTCTGTTGACTGGGCGCTGGGGGAGCAGCTTGCTCTGTTGCCTCTCGCTTGGTCCCGCTGTTGGTGGGCGCTTTGGGTTGTCTTCCAGCCTCTACTGGCGTCGGAGGACGGCTTCTCCCCCTTGGGGGGGGTTCAGAGCTGGCGGGGTGGGCTTCTTCCCCTGGGCTTCGTCATTTCCTCTTCGTGGGTGCGTGGGGCGTGGTCGATCCGCCCCATCCTTCTGGGCTTCCCGTCTGCTCCTTGCAGTCATGAGCTTTTCCTGTCTGCGGTTCTTCTGGACTTCTTCAGTCTGCGCCCTGGATCCTCTGCCCTCCTCGGAGGAATGTTGTCTCCTGTTCGGATTCTGTTAGGGCCGGGTGCATGGATGGTGGCCCTGGACCTCCAGGTCACTTCTTGGCACGTTCCTCTCCAAGTTTTCTGGGCTAGCACGGTTGGTGGTGGGGCTTCAGGTTTTTATTGCCTTCCCTATTTTGTCATGGGCACTTCGTATACTCTTGCATCTTTACCGGATCTTAGTGCCCTGTCTGAGTCTGAGATTCGGTGTCTGGCCTACCTCGACGACTGGCTGGTGTGGGCTCCCAGTCAGTCCGCTTGTCTGCTCGTCAGGGGATGGTTCTTTCCAGATCGCCGGGTTTAGTTTCCTGGTGATCTGGGGGGTTTTCCATCTGTTTCTGTCCCGGGTTCGGACCTGGGCCTTGTTTACGGCTCTTGGGCCCCTCATTGTCTTCCCTCCAGAAGTGTTACTGCGGCTGTGGTCCCGCCTTTGGCTGTTGAGGAGGGGGTCCCGGGTTGCTCAGCGGTTGCTTGGGCGGTTGTGCGGGAGTCTGCACTTCGGCGTGCTTGTCTGCCCGCGGAGTCGGGTTTGGCTACGGCGTCGGTTGGTTCCTGCGGAGACTCCCCTTCCGCCTCTTGCATTCCTTGGGTTCCTCAGGGATCTTGTGTTTGGTGCTGCGTCACCAGCTTCCTCTTTGGGGTTTTCGGGGTTCCGTGCCTTGGCACCTCCCCGAGCCTTCGCTCGATGTGTTCACGGACGGGTCGTCTCTCGGCTGGGGCTTTGTGACCAGTGCTCACCAGGTCGGCCGAGGTTGATGGAGTCTCTGTCAGTCGGGCTCACAGCACGGTTCGGGTGTTCCTGGTTGTCTGGTTTGCGCTTCGGAGGGTTTGGGTCACTAGGTACTCTACCATTCAGCTCTGTTTGGACTGTTCTCTGGTGGTTCTTGCCGGTACCACAGGGGTTTGGCTAACCGTGTGGTTCGTGTCCGGGGTGTGTCCTGCGTCCTGGCGGACAGCTGTCTCGGTTCATTCCTCTTCGTGGGTTGGCCAGTCGTCGCCGATTCGTTTTGTTGGCTCTGTCGGGCATATGGACTCCTGGCCATGGACGTCTTCGGGTCGGCGTGGTCTAGGCGTCGCCCATTTTGTGGCGCCCTTCCCACCTGCGAGGACTTCACGGTGGAGGCTTTTGGCAGGACTGGTCGAGGTGGGGGGTACCTGTTCCTCTTCTCCCGGTCCAGCTGTTGCTTCGGTTTCTGGCTCGGTTGCAGCCCATTCCCACGAGAACAGTCCTTATGGTTCCTTGGTGGCCGGCCCGGCCTTCTGAAATTTTCAGACGCTGCTTGATAGGTGTCCGTACCGGGGCGTTTTCCTGAGGCTTCGCCTCTTTCAGCAGGCCGAATCGGTCCTGTCCGTGACTGCTTCGGCCTTCTCCTTGGCTCTTCGCGTCTGGTGTTTTGACGCGGGTATCACCATCTCTATGGTGTTCAGGTGGCTTTGTTGACGGTGTTCCACCTGCGAGCTTCGTCTTGGAGACAGTATGACGTTTCTTACGTTTTCTCGTGTTTTGTTTCCTCTCCGGCCTGCTCATGCGTCGCCTGAGCCATCCTGGTCCTTGTTGGGCTGCACGGACCATTGGCGCGGCAGTAAGGTGTGATGTTTGCTTGTTTGCTTGGGATTGTAGGGAGTTTCTACCTCTCGGTTCGGTTTTTTGTTCTAGTTTTTTACCATGTGGGGTTTGTTTTGTTATGCCTACCTTTCTGGGTGCCTAACCCCGGTCGATGGCAAATAAGGAAACCCCCAACCATATGGGGTTTTCCAGGGCCATTGCTCCCTGAAACCTCTCTGAAGGGGCCAGGTTCTGGCGCTGGTCCCTGGTAGGTCTGAACTCCTTAGCTAATGTCCTAGTCTAATATAACATACATTAGTCCGATAATCTCCAGGGAGCCTCCGGGGCTCACCCAGAAAATGGCGTTTCGTTACATTTAACGCTGGTTTTTGGGGGGAATTTTGACTACTTGTATTAGGAAAACTAAAGATGTTTTGGAAATTCCCAAATCTCAGATCCTTAATTATATGCTAATGTGTCAGAAAAGTGTCATAGAATGATTATATCTGAAAAGTTGAAAGGTTTGAAGTCCCTCGAAAATGTGTAATTTTCGTTGAAAATAAAAAAAAAATATATCTCCCTTTCTATTTAGGCTGCAATACTGAAACTTGGAACAATTGCAGCCCTTTTCATATACAACTAGTCAAAAAATATTGGTTGACATTGAACAACTTTTCCAAAACCATTCAAAGTCCCCCTTAATCTTCACTTTGGTCAACCCAGCACTATCAGCATCCACTCCCACCTTATCCATCTAAATAATAATGCTCAATCAACTATAATCTTCATGTTAACAAGCAGATCAGAACTTCTCATAATGTTGAGTACAAACAAAATACTGTCATTTCTGCAACAAAATTTTTAATTTTTCCCCTAGCTTCTCAAGATGATGAACCACTTATCCGGACACAACAGATTTTTTGTTCATCTCAGTCGCGAGAGATTGGGAAAGCATGTGGCCCTCTGCATACTTCTAGCTTGTACAAATATGTCACCACCTCCGTGGACTACCCTGAGGCCTCTGATCCACAAAGTTTTCTTCAAGTGTTTGCAGTGAACTTATTTAAGTAATAAATGTCTATAATATGAATGTCATTTTTTCCAACAGATCTACTGGATCTTGATCCATTACCAATAACAGCATTGAACAACAGTGAGTTAGAGAAGCTCTACAGTTTCACACACTTCAACCCCATTCAAACTCAGCTCTTCCACTGCCTGTACCACACTGACAACAATGTATTGCTGGGAGCTCCCACTGGCTCGGGTAAAACAATTGCTGCCGAGATTGCCATGTTTAGAGTCTTCCGTGAAACACCAGAAGCTAAGGTATAGTGCCAGTATCTTATTTCCCTTAACCCTTTAACTGCGCAACGCACCTGCAGGCCCACGTCTGGGGTGCGCTACGCGCCTCCGGGTATTTGTATTTTTCACGTTCCATTCAAAACTCCCGTTGCTACATGGGGTTCACATCAACTTCCTCAGGGCTCTTGTAAACAGATGCCATCTTTAAACAAAATTTGGGTCCACATTCCCAGATGTGAGAGCCTCAGTAGTGAGTGAGCAACCAAGGCTGGCGCTCGCTGCATGAGCGCACAGCACTGCTGTTTAGCGTGTGACCACAGCATCGCCTAATAATGTCAAAATATATATATAACGTGTATTATTTAGCCATGAGAGTATTATAAGAGCCTGAGTGTGATAATGACTGGGTACAATGTTCAAATATCAGTGATTCAATGTTGTTCACGATGTTCATAGCGCTAGCCACAGCACCACAGCATTATTTCGTCCATCTAGGAATCTTCAAACGACTTCTTAGGTTCCTTTTCAAAATAAATTTGTGGTCAATTATTCATTTACAGGAATTTGTAACCAGGATTGTGGTTATAATTAGCGTTGTGCATAGAATTGTGGAAGGAGGAATTTTGGTGAGGGAGGGTGGAAGGGAGAGAATTGAGGTAGCCTCACTGTGTGTGGCAACCACTCTTGTTTTGCTCACCATACTAGCTTCGTGGTTCGTTATGGGGAACACATATTTACATGGGTATATACAGTGTGTGTGTATGTAGTGTAATAACAGCAACAGGAGTATGTTGAGAGGAGCTTTTTGGTGAGGAAGGTGACGTCGTAATCGTAGCATCGTCTGATGTGTGATTTCCCATGCAGTGTATGGTGGCTATTGTACTGTTTGGACACAATACCGGCTTACTTGCATAGTTCTGGTAAATAAAACAAGTAGATAGGTATATATAACATGTGTTAATAGTGTAATAAAAACAATAACAGTATGGTGGGAGGAGCAATGTTGGCGAGTAAGATATTGGAGGAAGGGATTGCCTGTCTGGGTGTGGCTGCTCACACTCGTGGTGTTCTGAATGTGTTGATGGTGAATGTATATAGTGTGTGACAGTGTATAGTGTGTACATATGTTGTAAATATGCATAAATGAACATGAAACATTGGTGTGAATAACTGTATAATGGGAGGAGCAATGTTGGCAAATACAATGTTGGAGGAGTGAGGGAGGGCTGGCTGGGTGTGGCTGCTCACACTCGAGGTGTTCTGAATGTGTTGATGGTGAATGTATATAGTGTGTGACAGTATGTAACTAGAGTGTATATATACATAAATTAGCATGATACATGGTAAATATGTGCAACATATGTGTACACAAGTGTCATGCACGTAACACAGTGTCTTCGAACAGTACGGATGTTTTACTGCCATAATATAGTGTACGTGTTCATTATACATATATATATTTAGGATTAGCACGTAAAAATTATATATAGAATTAGCACATAAAAACAAATAAAATGTATTTGGAACTGTGCGCAAAAAAATGAACATAAATATATTCACGGCAACTCGCGCGCTCTGCCCCGGGTGCCCTACTGGCCCCGAGAACGTACGTCACGGTCGAACGAGGACTGATGATGTCACGCACCAACTTACGGACTCCATAGCAGCCAAAGTAAGTACAATTTGCAATTTTTTTTGACATACCCATACTGGGGGAAGGGTTTTTGACACTTTAAAAAACACAAAACAATTTTTTCCAGAGAATTTATTTCCTGCGCACTGGGGGGGGGGGTGTGTCATATTTGGAGGCGGCGCAGTTAAGGGGTTAACCCTCGGGCCACTAGGGGTCGAAATGGCTTTTGTTACGGCCCTAATGGGGGACAACCGGGTTCTTTCTGATGGTATGAAAGTTCTGGTATCCAGCCCCAAGTTAGTAGAGGCTTTCAAGGAGTGAGCTCAGTAATGCAAGTAAAACAAAAGGGGGAAGTACATTAAATACAACAGGTCATCACTTTATCCATATATAATTATTTTTCCCATCACCATATATATATATAAAACTCTAAAAGGGAAGTATTACTGCATTATATGTACATCAACGTTTCTATCAGAAGACACTAAACACTCGGCCAAGGACCTTGGGTCACTAAAGACCCAAGGACCACACCGAATCCCCAAACGCCAGGGGCTCAAAGAACAAAGGCACTGAACCCCGAAAAACCGAAAGAGGAAACCGGCTGCGCTGCATCTGGCGCACCGCCCTAGGAGGACGAACCTAGCGATTGTGAGAGAGGCGGAAGGGACGTCCCCAAAGGAACCAGAACAGCCAACGAAGTCAAACCCAACCCGGCGGGTAAACCATCCCGGCATAGTTCAGGTTCCCGCACAAACCCTCAAGCAACCACTGAGTGATTCAGGAGCCCCTAGAAACTTGGGCAGGACCGCAGCCGAAGCAGGGACTCTGGAGGGACATTTAAGGAAGCGGTGCGAGAATTCCACAGAAGACCCAACCAAGTCTGAACCTGAGATGGAACCAAATGGGACTTCCGCCAGTTCACCAGGAACCCAAACCCGGCGAGCTGGGAAAAACCAGATCCCTGGCAAGCAGACACGTGCACCGGCTGGGAGCCCAGACCAACCAGTCGTCAAGGTAGGCCAGCACCCGAAGACCTAAGAGACGCAGACGTGCCACCACAACCCGGGTAAGGTGTGTGAACATGCAAGGTGCCAGGTTCAACCCGAATGGATGACAACGAAAGAGCTATCCGAGACGCCCCACAATAAAACCGAGCCAATCTCTAAACCCCAGATGAATTGGGATGTGCCAATACGCGTCCTGGAGGTCCAGAGACACCATCTAAACATCCAGTTCCATAAGAAGCCGGACCTGGGACAGAGTGGTACTCCAAAAGGAGGGGGTAAAAGACTCAGCGGTTCAGACAGGACAAGTTCAGAATGAACTGCAGGTCCGCACAGTCCCGTTTTTGGACTGGGGACAGATGGGAGACCCAGCTGGGGGACGTCATCGTTTCGACCACGCTGAAGTGTACCTACTCCAAGATGACCTGACAGAGTGCAGGAGAAGAGGCCTGCCCCACCAGCCCCAAACCCCCAAAAGTGGAGGTACCATCTAATGCCACAGCAGGTCATCGAAAATGACCCGAACAGTCCACTAATCTTGAGACCAGGTGTGAGCGAACAGCTTAAGCCTCCCCCCATCATCCTGTCAGTGCGGTGAATTGCGATAGGGCCGACACCCCTTACGATAACCCAACTTAAGCACATACCAACCACCACGCTTACCAGACAAAGACAGGTCCAAAGGCGGTGCTGGCTCAGAAACTGGCACCAGCTGCCTACCGTGACGAGATGAACCCGGACCTAGGCATGACTCTTCCGGGAGGAACCTCCCTCGGAAGCCCCGAAGGACCAACAAGTCCGACATCGGACGACAATTAAAAGAGGCTGCCTGCAGAAACTGCCCAACTGCAGACTTTGCAAACAGCTAGGAATAATAAGACGACGAAAGCTTAAGAGTCAGGCCCACGCAGATTCCAGCGAGGAAGCGAGCACCACCTGCCGACATGCAAGAAGCGAAGCAAAAAAACTGCGACACCGCATCCCGCAGGATTGGTGCAAACAGCTTCAGCATTGCAGGCAACGCACCCGCTGCCGAGACCAAGGCACCACATCCAGGAACAGCCCTAAGCATTTTCACATCTTCCTTAAGCCAATCTGAAGACAGCTCCAGGAAGGAAAAGAACTGTAAGACCGAAGCCAGTAAGCCACGAGCGCACAAGTCCTCAGACACCAATGCAGCTGAAAGGGAGGGAACCTGCATGTGAAGCTGAACTATGCCAACTTCTCGCGGAAGGGCAGGGGCAAACAAACACGCATTGAGGTGCTCAAATTGGCCCCCCATTCCTCCCCCCCTCCCCCCCCCCCAGGTAAGCCTGGACTTACTTACTAAGGTAAGCCTGGACTTACTTACTAAGGTAAGCCAGGTAAGTCAATGCTTCACACCACTTAAGTGAGCGGGTACGACAGAAAGTACTCCAAGCATCCAACAACAACACAGGACAGTCCACTAGCCCAGGATGACTCTGGAACCTCATAACAAACCCAAAATGAAGATGAAGACCCAAACTTGAAAAAAGATGGCTTAATAACAGAGGAATAATCCGACTGAACCAAGGCCTAAGCGACCAACACCCTCAAGTTCAGGTCCCTATAAGCAAAACAGGGCAGCCACGGGGCTTCCAGGGGAAGCAAACAACCTAGCGCGTTGCAGCAATCTAAATCTAGCATGCAATGCTGGGGCCGCCTGTACAGTACCTGGATAAAGTCATCAGTTGATTGAGTGAATTGAGTCACAAGAAAGTAATAAGTCTTGCCGGACTCTGGATCGAAAGTATCCCAACCCAGCAGGCAGTGTGACAGAGGCAAAAACAAAAAGAATCACCCTGAGACAAGGGGACGGAGCAACTCTCAAAATCAAACAAAGCAAGAGGGGACCCAGGGGCCGCATCCATTGGACCCCCTTGCACCCTTGCGTAGTTTCCCAGGGCTCTTAGACTGGTATCGCTAAGTTTAAGCTCTGGCAGGGTACTGCAAACCGGTGCCTAAGTGTACCAATCAAACCTTTAAAAACTGAACCCCTGGGACGTGTCCACTCCCAGGGGGCCAAGCACAGGGGTACCACCCAGAACACAGATAGGTAACTAACCTAACATAGATAGGGAACAATGAACCAAAGTCAGCCCCCCCCCCCCTCCACCAAGCAGGATAAACAAAAACAAAAGAAAAACCCCGCAAGAGGACAACATACCCAGGCGGAACAAAGCCGGCCGCTACAGTAGGTGATAACTAGTTGTGCAGTATCCTGCACCCCTACCAGTGTAAACTACCCCTTACCCAAAGGTAAACAAGGGAGGAGGAAATCCCCCAACACACTCAGGGCGGTCAATTACCAAGCAGCAAAAGAACTACAGAGGTAGACCCCAAGGTGACTTGTGGAAGTCACCTTGGTTAGGGTCTACCCAAGGTGACTTTGGTGACCCAAGGACTTCCCAAGGTGTCTACTTGGTACTTACAGAGCCCTGTAAGTACCACCCCCAAGAGTGGCACTGAGCTTTGGAGCACTGGGACCCACCTTGAAAAATGGTGATTGTAGCACTACAGGTTTGCACTAGACAGTTAATCAGTGAGAGAACTGAGTGGCAAGGTGGCATAGGACTGTGTTCCAAGCTGCCTGGTTTCAGCAATATGTTCTTCTTAGTTTGGGGTGAATTATTTTATTTTGACTGAATCATTTTTGGAAACTCTCTGGAAGATTTGAGGCTTTGAGTCTTGTATACCCAGCAGTGGTCTGTTAAGCTTCACTGACTTTCTGGATGCTTTTCCAGTGTAATGGCAGATTGTCATTTGCTCTGTGTGCCTCTGTGAGGGAGGGTTGAGGATCTGGCTCTGGTCTCAGGTAGGCTAAACACAACTCTTGAGTGAGATAGCTACTGGGAGCCACTAAGGGGCTCCCTGAGAATTGAATACCAAGTTTTCCAAGTTTTGCCATTCTGCATCAGTATCTGCATCTCCCTCAGTATTTTCCCCTATTCTTCCTTCATGTTTTGCTTTGATTTTACCATGTAGGTAATCCCAGCCTATCCTTTCTCGAGCTTCGTGGATTATATTCTTCCATTGATTATAATGGTGACTGCTGGCCATTTGAAATTGCTTACCCTCTGCAAATTGAGGATTAATAATTGAGCAAAGTTTGCATTAAAGCTCATCTTCTACAACTCTAGCCTCGTTGATTCCAGGCAGGTATTGTCACTATTTCTTTAGGCCAGTTTGTCGGTATTCATGTTTATGAATTATCACGATACGTGCAAATTTAATTTGATTTCAGGTTGTATATATTGCACCCCTGAAAGCTCTGGTACGGGAACGTGTTGAGGACTGGCGCGTGAGATTACAGGAAAAATTGAACAAGAGAGTAGTGGAGTTGACAGGTGATGTTTCCCCAGATATAAGAGCAATTCAGGTAATGGATTTTTGTTTTTTACCAGTTTAATTAAACCTATACTGTATTTGTAAATATGAGATACACAATTTTTTTTAATATATTCTGGTTAAATTAATTAAAGGTTGCTTATGTTGATTCTGATTCTCATTTTGCAGAATTGGTTTTCTATTAGTATTCATATGCTCTACCAGTGCATACAGTGTTTCATTCATCAAGATTAAAATTGTCTGCAACGTTAGTTCCTTTATTGCTAAATTGTACAGTACTAAAATGTTAATTCATTTCAGGCTGCTCAAGTTATTATTACCACACCCGAGAAGTGGGACGGCATATCACGGTCTTGGCAAACTAGAAGCTACGTGAAGCAAGTTTCATTAATCATCATTGATGAGATTCATTTGCTTGGTATGATCACACATCCTTATTTTTATGATAAATATTTATGCTAATAACTTCATCAAATGTTCATTTTCTAGTTACTTGTATGTTACCTTGGGTAAATTTTTAGTTTTTCTACTCTAGCAGCCCAGGACTATTAAAAATCTGATGATTTTGTTTATATTCCTTTGTTAGCAAATAGGACTATCAGTTTATTTACATCATCTGAGTTATTAAATTTGTCTCTTCCCTCAAGTAAGCACCCTCTTAGTGCCCTTGGACGGGAATTGTGTACATCTGGGCAGGGTGACAAACTGAACATGTCTGGCTAGGCAAAACCATTGTATTTTCTGGGGGGAAGCTATCATACACTGATCAGTGCCATACTATCAGGTGCCATCAGTCACGGAGTTCTGTTGGCCTACTGGTGACCACGAGCCAAAACCTGACCCCCCTCAGAGAGGCGCAGGGAGCGATGGCCAGAGAAAACTTCACATTTAAAGTTTAATCATACTTGCCACTAACAGGAAAGCACCCAGAAAGTTAGGCAAACCAAAACAAACTATTGCATGGTTTAAAAACATGACCACAGCTTCAAAATAGCCAAAAAAAAAACTCCCCCAGCAATGAAAACAAACCACGAAAATTTCATGAAACTTGAGCTTGCTAGTTTCCCCACCTTTTCCCTCATTTGAGGGGACGATGGAAGTGCACCGCGTTAGCCGGCTCACCCTACCCTCAATTCTATCTGATGCGTGCCCTGGTGCAGTCCTTGTCGCTCTGGCTCCAGTTTCCTTCATCAGCTAAGTGGTTTCTTAGTGCCTTTGAGATAGGGTAGGGTTGGCTTGTTGGGCTTTGTATCCCACTTGGGTGAGTCCAATTACATTTGAACTTTTCTGGGGGGAGCCCCGTCGGCTCCCCGGAGCTATACAGGCTGATATGCTAATGTCAGACTTTAGCATCAGTAATGTGTATGGAGCTTTGTGGTCCTACCGGGGAACACAAGCCAGAACCTGGTCCCCTCAGAGAGGCAAGGGGAGCAATGGCCTATAGAAACCCCCGTGTGGTTGGATGCATTCTATGTTTGCCATAGACTGGGTCGGGCACCCAAAAAGGTAAGCGGCCCAAAACAAATCCCTATTCTGGTTAAAATTGCTACCTAATGCCGAACTAGTGGATAGAATTCCCCCAAAAGAAACGAGCAAACTAGCACGACGTCACCGAGCCGCTGTCTGCTCAGCTCTTCCCTCCCAGGGAGGGGGAAGGGGGAGCCCCATACCCCCACACCGGCGACCCACACCCCAGTTCTTCGGCTGATGCTAAAGGCACCGGTTGTGTGCTCCGGCTCCAGAGGTTGTTTCAGCACTGTACCTAGAGTGTGGTGTCTGTCCTCTAGGTGGTGCGTGAGCCAGGAGTGAGTCTCCAGTACTTGGGCTGCATGCGCCTAGGGTTCCCTTCCCTAGGTGCCCTGTAAGTACTACCCTTGGGGCTTGGGGTTACCTTCCACAAGTTCCTTGGGTCCTGCTTCTGCCAGGCCATTTACTGCTTGGTTTTTGGCCGCCCTTTGTGTGATAGAGGGTTCTGTCTCCCTTGTTCGCCTTAGGGTAAGGAGCAGTTTGCACTGGCGGGGCGCAGGGTACTGCGCAGCTTGTTTTCACCAATCTTAGCGGCTGGCTCTGTTCCGCCTGGGTATGCTGTACTCTTGTGGGGTTTTCTTTTTGTTTTTGTTTATTTACCTGGTGGGTGGTCTGCCTTTGGTGTTTTCCCACTTTTTGTACCGAGTTCTCTTCCTTCTTCCGGTGGTTCCCCCTTCTTGGTCCCCGTGAGTGTACACATCCCGGGGGTTCAGTTCTTAGAAAATTGTTTAGTAGACATGGGCGCCAGTTAGCAGTACCCTGCCTGGGATTACCTGATCACGAGTCCTCTTATAGTAAATGCTCAGGACCCTGGGAAACCCCTAGGGGGAGTGTGGGCCCGATGGATGTGGCCGGGAGTTTCTCCTCGCTTGTGCGAGTTCGAGGGCTGCTCTGTCCCCTTGTCTCAGAGTGACTCTCACTGTTTTGCCTCCGTCTGCTGCCTGTTGGGCCGGTGACACCTTTGGCCCGGAGCCCTGCGAGTTTTGTTGCTTGTTTGTGAATCGGTTACCCAACCTTATGCTGACTATGTGGGTGCAGGCAGCATGTGCGTTGCACGTTGGGTTTCAGTGGCAATGTGCTAGGTTGTTTGCTCCCCGAAGCCCCGAGACTGCCTCGTTTTGGTTGGTGGTCTTGTTGGTTTCCCCCCTCCCCCCTTTCCTCCCTGCATCTGGGTCCTTACCTTCTGTGGGTTCTGGGTCGGGGTGGGGCTTCCGTGGTTTTGAGACTCGGTTGGTCTCGGGGAATTCCCCTTCCGGGGTAGTGACAGGGTAATTCGAGCCTATTCCTCCAGCCGTGTTGTATGAGTCTGCCAGTGGGCTCCCTTCCTTTGTGCTTTTCACAGCTTCCCGGTTTTTTCTTGTGAGGCTGGGGCTTTCGGGGGACGGCTCGGCCCCAGGCGCTGCCGTGTGGGTTTCCGGGGCTTGGGAGGGGCTGACTTGGTGGGCCTCAGGCCCCATTGGATCCCACCGTTTTTTTTTTTTTTACCCTCTGGGCGGGGCTTGTGGTTGCGCGGAGTGGGGGTTTTTCCTTCCCCACTCTCCACACGAGTTGTTGGGCGTCGGCCCCTTCCCGGGCTCGGCTCCTAGTCCCTTACGCCCGTTGGTTCCGTCCTGTCTGTGTGTGCTCTTCTCCGTTATTCACCCGTTTTTCTTGGGACGGGACTTCTCCGTCATGTTCCCTTCTTCTTGGGGTTCTGCATGACTTTTGGTCTCTGGTGAGACCAAAAATCATGCAGAGCCTTTCTATGCCTTCGTCATTTGTGCTTGCTTCTGTGTTCTCGAAGGTTCAGGATGGTTTTTGCTCTTTCCTGTATTATTGGAAAGTCTGTCGTCTTTCGGTGAGGCTTCCCTCCGGTCCTTTTTAGGGCTTTATGGTCCTCTTCCGTACTACCTCTTGGTTTTCGGCCCTGTCTCGTTCTTTTGTTCATGTATCTTCTCTTCGTGCTGTGTCTCGGAACTGCTCGTTTTCCTTCTATACTCCTGGTCCGGGATGCCAGGTTGGGCTGCGTGTGGCCCAGTTGGGCTACTGATAGCCCGGTTGGGTTCCAATTCGGTTCATTGTTTTCATTACATGAGCCAGCTGTGTGTGTCGTGGCTTACTCCTTTTTGGCTTCTGTTCCCGTGCATTGAGCTGTTTCTTCTCTTAAGCGAATCACTCGGGATACAAACTGTTGGGCTACTTTTCTTTAGTGTCCTGCGCATGCGCCGTGGGAGTTTGTTTTGTTTCAGGTGGTGTGCACAAGTGCTGGTGTTCTCCATCCATTTTCTCTCGAGTGCTTTGCCTCTCGCTCTTCTCATTCTCCAGTCCGTGCCCCGTTGTTCCTGGGGGTGTTCTGGAGTGTTGCTATGGGGAGGTTGCCGGGTTTTCCCTGCGTTTTGGGTGAGGGCGCCTACTTCGCCTCTCCCCTCCTCTTCTGCATGAGCAGCTCTGGTCAGCTTCCGCGGGTGGTGCTCCTGGTTTTCTCGGCTGTGGGTGCACAATACCCTAGCCGCCTCCGGCAGCACCAACCTAGTAAAATTTTTATGACCCGTGGTTATGTTTTGCAGGTGAGTTTATGCAGTCTGGCGTCTCCTTCGTCCAGGCACTGGTTCATTTGGAGGTACGAATGGGAGTACATACGTACATGAGAACATATAACATGCAAACAGGGGTGCCTGGTGTTGGGATGTTTTTCAGTACGTCAGACGTTCCCTCTCCTTCTTTGCTGGCCCGGGTTTCCGGCTCTGCCTGCTCGGTGCTCGCACCCAGGGTCTTCCCGCAGCTCCGCCTCTTCCTCGACTCGTTCAGCTCTGCCTTGAGTCTAGGCTTCTATTGGTGGTTAGGTGGCTTTGTTGCTGGTGTCCAACTTGTGTGCTTCTTCTTGGCGGCGGTGTGGTTTTTTTTTTGGCGGTCCTTCCTTTTCCTTCTGTCCCTTCTTAGGTAGCTGTATTTTATTGGCGTTGTCTTGTTCCTCTTTTGTTGGGGTTCGGAGCCATCATTTTGCCGTATACTGTCGCCTCGTATCGCTCAGCGCTGGCGGAGCCGCTTCCGCTTGCGTCCAGTATTGATGTTACTTCTAAGCCATTCCTCAAGCTGTCTCATGCGCTGTTTTACCTCCGGCCTGCTCATGCGCCACCTGTGCTCTCCTGGTCATTGGACAGAGTGCTCTTTTCTTTCTTCTCCTCGGTTTATGGTGGGCCCCTCCGGTTCTGGTTTTCTGCTCCTTCGATCAGGGCGGTAGGTTTGTTCGTCTGCAGCCGTCTCCATCTTATCTGGCAAAGACTGAGACTGCTGCTTTCCGGAGGGGTCCTTGGGTTTATGATGCATGGTTGGTTAGGCAGGGAATGCGTCGTGTTTTGTGGCCCGTGGCAGTTCTCCGCCGTTTTCTGGGGGGAACCCCGTCGGCTCCCCGGAGCTATCCCAGGCTGATATGCTAATGTCAGACTTTGGCATCAGTCTTGTGTATGGAGTTCTTAGGCCTACTGGGGACCACGGCCAGAACCGGGCCCCCTTAGAGAGGCAAGGGGAGCAATGGTTTATAGAAACCCACGTGTAATTGGAAGCATTCTATGTCTGGCATCGACCGGATCGGGCACCCAGAAAAGTAAGCGCCCCAAAACAAACCCCTATTCTGGTTAAAATTGCTATCAAAAGCCGAACTAGTCGTATGACGTCGCACATCGCCACGCCACTGTCTGCGCAGCTCCCCCCTCCCCTAAGGGGGAGCCCCAGACCCTTCATGCTGGCTACCCACACCTCAGTTTTTAAGGCTGATGCTATAGGCAGAGGTCATGTGCTCTGGCTCCAGTGTTTTTACAGCACTGTGCTTTGTGTGTGGTGTTTGTTTTCTGTGGGTGCGAGAACCAGGAGTTATCTTCAGTACTCGGGCTGCATGTGCCTAGGGCTGTCTTCCCTGGGTGCCCTGTAAGTACTGTCCTTGGAGCTTGGGGCCACCTTCCACAGGCTCCTCGGCACCTGCCTCTGCTAGTCCGTTCTACCGTTCGGTTTTTCGGCCACCCGTTGGGCTCTTGGGTCTTCTGTTCTCCCTTGTTACCTGCAGGTAAGTGGTAGTTTGCACTGGTATGGGCGCAGGGTGCTGTGCAGCTTCGTTTTCGCGACATAGCGGCTGGCTCTGTTCCTTAGGGTTCGCTGTCCTCTTGCGGGGTTTTGTTTTTGTTTTTGCCTTGTGGGGGGTTCTGCCCAATTATCCACTGGTGTTAGGCCTTCTATGGTTCTCCTCGGTGGCGCCCCCTGCTAGGTCCCCGTGAGTGTGCACATCCCTGGGGTTCAGCTGTAGATGTTCACTTGGTAGTTTTGGGCACCGGTTAGCAGCACCCTGCCTGGGACTACTTGGGCGTGAGTCCTCTTAAAGTAAATGCTCAGGACCCTGGGAATCCCCTAGGGGGCGCGTGGGTTCAATGGATGTGACCCCGGAGTCCCCACTCGGTTTGTACGAGTTTGAGGGTTGCTCGGTCCCCTTGTCTCGGGGTGACCCTCATTGTTTTTGCCTCTGCCACGCTGCCTGTTGGGTCTGTGATACTTTCAACCCTGAGTCCTGTGAGTGTTGCTGCTGGCTTGTGACTCAATTTACCCAATCCTCTGATGATTCTATTTGGGTACAGGCGGCGCGTGCGTTGCAAGCTAGGTTTCATCTGTTGCAACGCGCTCGGTTGGTTGCTCACCCGGATGCCCTGGGGCTGCCCCGCTATGCTTTTCGAGATCTGAACTTGGGGGTGGGGGTTGCTTCGATCCGGGTTCATTCCACACCTCCTCGTCCTTCCCCTCCTGTTGTTCGTTCTGGTCGTCCCCAACCCCCATGCTTCCAGCCCCAAAACGTCTCTGTGGTTTTCATGCTTTCCTTAAGGCTCAGGGGTTTCTTCTCTTTTGGCTCTGGTGTTTGGTTTGTTCTTTTGCAACCGTCTCCTTCTTTTCTGTGCAGACTGAGATGTCTGCTGCCCAGAGGGGTCCTTGGGTTGTTGATGCTTGGTTGGTTGGGCCAGGGGTGTTTCATGTGTTGTGTCTGATCGCGGATTTCTGTCGTGGTTTGCGTGCCTTTGGCTTCTGGTCTGGAGTCGCGCTCTGGGTTACCCGTTTCCCTTCTTCCCTGTTCCTAGGTTCGGGTTTGCCAGGTCGTTTGCTGGGTCCTTTGGTGCCATTGATTGTCTTGCTTTAGTTTTGAGTTACGTGTAGCGTCTGCCTCCCGGTGAGTCCCTCTTTACTTTCTCTTTGAAGTAAAAAGAGGAAAAACCAGCTTTGAATGTAATGAAACGCCACTTTCTGGGTGAGGGAGGCTCCCCAGCATCCCTCCCTCCCCTTATTCGGCAAATTTTTTTTTTTGCATATTTTTGACATCCAGCCTCTGAACTGAAGGTGTGGGACGCCTGACAGCTGGGTGGACAGTGCTTCAGATTCGTAGTCCTGAGGTTCCGGGTTCAATACCTGGTGGAGGCGGAGACAAATGGGCAAAATGTTTCTTTCACCCTGATGCCCTCTGTTCCCTAACAGTAAATAGGTACCTGGGAGTTAGACAGCTGCCACAGGCTGCTTCCTGTGGGATGTGTAATAAAAAGGAGGCCTGGTTGAGGACCGGGCCGCAGGGACGCTAAGCCCCAAAATCATCTCAAGATAACTTCAAGAAGATAGCCGGCGTAAAGGTTTTGGGGCTCCCCGTTCCTCTCCCCGGGAGGGGGACGGAGCTATACAGATGGTGGCGCAGAACGTGGTGACGTCATGCTCGTTGGCTCCTTTTTCTTTCAAATGAGTTCTGTCCACTCGTTTGACTTTCAGTAGTAGTGCTTACCTTTCTGAGTGCCTGACCCGGTCGATGGCAGACATAGAATGCTCCAAATCACATGTACAGTTCTATAGGTCATTGCTTTTCATGCCTCTCTGAGGGGGGCCAGGTTCTGGCTAGTTGTCCCCGGTAGGCCTAAGAACTCCATTCACACTGACTGATGCCAAAGTCTAATATATCCATATCAGCCTGGATAGCTCCGGAAAGCCTCTTGGGGTCTCACCCAGAAAATGGCGTTTCATTACATTCGGGGCTGGTTTTTCTCTGTTTTATGGTTTGATACCCAGGCTCTCCTTCACCTCTTTGAGCAAGTTAGGTTCCAATCATGGCTGCTGGTGTGTGGTCATGGGTCATAGACCTGATATGTTCTCCAAAATTTGATTGCTTCCAGAGTTGTAGCAGCACAGAGGAGCAGCTGAATTACTCTCCAAATAGAAGTATTTCTTTTAAGTCAATGCTAGGTTTTTGAGCAGGTTCCTCAGTTGCTTCCCATTGCAGATGAGGAGTCACAATAACGTGGCTGAAAAAATGTTGACCAAATGACACACTGGAAAGTGAAGAGACGATGACGTTTCGGTCCGTCCTGGACCATTATCAAGTCGATTGTGATGAGAGGAAGGAGACAATGGCAATAAATAGGCAAGAGAGAGAGAGGTGAGGAGAAGGAAAACACAAACTAAGAAGTGTTAAGTCTGCAGACACAAACAATGCTTTCTTCTGTCATGTTAGGGATTCTAATCATCCTATTGATTGGTCTTCCTCCAAAGTAATCTTTCCTGCGCCTACTTTACACAGATGCCATCTTGTCGAATCATCTCTGATACACAACGTACCCAACATGAACCTGAGTCCTGGTTTTGTTGCTGTTGACTCTTCCCTTTCTCAGTATATACTCAAAAGTTCTAAACTGTCTAACAAAGTGACCTAACATAAGCCTCCCCCTTCCTTTTATCTATCTTCTTTTTCTTGCCCTTGTTCTCTCTTACGATCTCTTTCTTTTTCCTATTATTACCCCCCTTTATTACTCCTTACCTTCCGTTCCTGTTGCCTTGCTTTTTCTTCCTCAAAGATTTCCTTCTCCTCACCTCTCTCTTGCCTATTTATTGCCATTGCCTCCTTCCTCTCATCACAATCGACTTGATAATGATCAAGGACGGACCGAAACGTCGTCGTCTCTTCACTTTCTAGTGTGTGGTTTGGTCAACTTGCTTCCCATCCTTCCCTTTACTCCTGGCTTTCCAGTGCATATAGGGGTGGCCAGTGCTTATTGTAGGGGTTACCTGCTCCCCAACCCTGCTGTGAGTTGCGAACATCTTTCTTTACAGAGCAATAATTGGTGTTGCGTTTCTAGTTAGGTTCCCAGTTATAGTTTAGAAGAAGCATAGTGTGATGGATATTTCTTTTGTATTGTTGTGAGTTGGTTAATTGGACATGGATTGGAACATAACTTTCGATGTCTTCGTGTTTCAATTATGGGACAGGGCCATTTTATAAATCTGTTATATTGGGGGTTAATTAAGTGCCATAGCCTGGTGGTGAATACTAGTGTCTTGTGTGGGCCATATGGGCTATGGCTATAAGAGTAACTGATGATTTAAAAGGCTTAGGCTTAGAAAGGAGTGTTTCATGCACTTAAAGTTCCATTTGTTTTAACAAAGTTATTTCCCTGAAGGTGAGGATCGTGGACCAGTTCTAGAAGTGATTGTATCAAGAACCAACTACATTTCTAGTCACACCAATAAAGGCTTGCGTATTATTGGGCTTTCCACAGCATTAGCCAATGCAAAGGACCTAGCAAACTGGCTGAATATTGGACAGGTATGCTTCTTCATTTTATATATTGATTGCAATGACAACTTATGGGTCAAGGTATTTTTGAGCGAAGATATTACCTATGAAATCTTTAACTGAATTGACAGTTTTCAACATGCTATCCATATACTGAAGATAATGCTTTATTCATTTAAAAATTTAACTAATAAAATGATTAACTCTAACTTTTTTCCTAATTTGTGCCTTTAGGTCGGTTTGTATAATTTCCGTCCATCTGTACGACCAGTGCCTTTAGAAGTGCATATCTCAGGGTTTCCTGGTAAACACTATTGCCCACGTATGGCTACCATGAACAAACCTACATTCCAGGGTAAGTCGCATGTTTTAGCTACCATTATTACTTTCTAATGTACTTTTGTTTGGTTGTCTATTTTTCTCTCTTTATACATTTGAGTCCGGAAGTAACAGTGATTAGCACCTTCATATTTTTCTTGATTATGATGCAGGAAATATAGTGGGTCAGACCTGCAAAACACTTTCTGTGGAGAGCCCCTCCGGCTCCCCGGAGCTATACCGTCCTGATTTGTATATGTTAGACTGTGGCATCAATCTATTTAATTGGAGTTCTAGGCCTACCAGGAACCGCGAGCCAGAACCTGGCCACCTGAGAGAGGCATGAGGAGCAATGAATGGCCTATAGAAACTTCCGTGAGTTTGGAAACATTCTATGTCTGCCATCTACCGGGTTATGCACCCAGAAAGGTAGGTGTCCCGAAACGGACTCAAACTGGTTAAAATTGCTACCGAAAATCGCACTATCAAGCAGAACTCTACAATCTGAAAACAAGCAAACAAGCAAACAAGCTTGACATCACAACCGCCGCTGTGCCGCTGTCTGTGCAGCTCCCCCCTCCCCGGGAAAGGGAAGGGGGGGGCCCCAGACCACTCGCGCCGGCTACCCAATCCCAATTCTGAGATTGATGTTATGAGTGGCAGTCTTTCGACTCTGGCTCCTGTCTTTGAGCAGTACTGTGCCTTGCAGTATTATTCTGTTGTGTTGTGGTGTGCGAGCCAGGAGTAATTCAAGAAGTACTGGGACTGCATGTGCCTAAAGCTCTCATCCCTGGGTGCCCTATAAGTACTGCCCTTGAGGCTTGGGGTAGCCTTCTATAAGTCGTTTGGGATCTACCTTCGTAGAGATCTTTTGCCGCTCGGTGATTGCCCGCCCTTGGGCTCAGCTGGGGTTTGCATTTCTGCTGTTTGATTTTGGGTAGGAGGTAGTATCGTCGCTGGTAGGGGTGCAAGGTACTGTGCAGCTTTTCATCTATTACACAGAGGCCGGTTTTGTTCCTCTTGGAGACGTACTTTTGCGGGGTTTTTATTTTTTGTTTGTTTTGTTGCCTGGTGGGGGGTCTGCCTCTTGGTTATTGTCCACCCTCTGTTATTCTGGTTGTCCCTTGCTAGGTCCCCATGATTGTACACGTTGCAAGTGTTCAACTTAAATTGATCTCTCTGTAGTTTGAGCCGACCGGTTAGCAGTACCTTGCCTGAGCTTCCCCTAGCAGTCAGCCTAAGGGCCCTGGGAAACCCCATTGGGGCTCATTTGTCCAATGGATGCGTCCTCTGCATACCATCTCGCCTTGTGCTAGTTTAGAAGTTGATCTGTCCCCTTCTCTCAGGGTGACAATCACCCTTTTTCTATTGTTGTTTAAAAACAACAACAGAAAAAAAAATCCCATCCCTCCTTATTGAAACATCAAGAAATCATAGTCGTCCACAGTGCTAAACTCTCGATGTAACCAATAGTGTCGATTGTAAAAATTAAGATAACATACCTAAATATCAAGTGAAAAAATTATACACAAAATAAGTCTGTTGTGTTTAAATGTGGGCCGTCCCATAGACCCACATCCCGTGTGTGCGTGCTCACTAGTAATTTGTTTCCAACAAGTGTTATTGGGGAATGTGGATCTAGGAATTAGTAATAAAGTAAATACCAGTGCAGGTCAGAAAATCCCTTATGGTAATACAGGCAAATTAATATATCAGTGTTATAACTCCAAGTAACTGGCAACTGACGGCATCCAGCCTGCGACCTGGGACAATAAGGTGCCAACTGTACATCACTCTGGAAACCTCACCCTCTACCGTGCAATAAGTACCTGCCCATACAGTACAACAATTAAACATATATGATATTATAAATATACTGTATACATATAATATTATAATATATATATATATATATATATATATATATATATATATATATATATATATATATATATATATATATATATATATATATATATATATATATGTCGTACCTAATAGCCAGAACTCACTTCTCAGCCTAATATGCAAGGCCCAATTTGCCTAATAAGCCAAGTTTTCCTGAATTAATATTTTTTCTCTAATTTTTTTCTTATGAAATGATAAAGCAACCCATTTCATTATGTATGAGGTCAAATGTTTTTATTGGAGTTAAAATTAACGTAGATATATGACCGAACCTAACCTAACCTATCTTTATAGGTTAGGTTAGGTTAGGTAGCCGAAAAAGTTAGGTCAGGTTAGGTTAGGTAGATTAGGTAGTCGAAAAACAATTAATTCGTGAAAACATGGCTTATTAGGCAAATCGGGCCTTGCATAGTAGGCTGAGAAGTGCGTTCTGGCTACTAGGTACGACATATATATATATATATATATATGTGTGTGTCGTACCTAGTAGCCAGAACGCACTTCTTGGCCTACTATGCAAGGCCCGATTTGCCTAGTAAGCCAAGTTTTCATGAATTAATTGTTTGTCGACTACCTAACCTACCTAACCTAACCTAACTTTTTCGGCTACCTAGCCTAACCTAACCTATAAAGATAGGTTAGGTTAGGTTAGGTAGGGTTGGTTAGGTTCAGTCATATATCTACGTTAATTTTAACTCCAATAAAAAAAATTGACCTCTTACATAATGAAATGGGTAGCTTTATCATTTCATAAGAAAAAAATTAGAGAAAATATATTAATTCATGAAAACTTGGCTTATTAGGCAAATCGGGCCTTGCATTGTAGGCTGAAAAGTGAGTTCTGGCTACTAGGTACGACATATATATATATATATATATATATATATATATATATATATATATATATATATATATATATATATATATATATATATATATATATATATATATATACATACATACATACATACATACATACATATATATACATACATATATATACATACATACATACATACATACAAGGCCTGATTTCCCTAATAGGCCGAGTGATTTTCTTTATTTTCAATAAATTGTTTCCAATTAGTTTATTCAAATTATTATTATTATATTAGGAACATAAATTATTGATTTAGTTAGTTTAGTTTAGGTTAGGTTTAGATAGGTTAAGTTAGGTAAGGTAAGGTTGGTTAGGTTCGGTCATATACTGTATATACATTAGTATTAACTCAAATTTCAACAAATGAACTTATAATTAACCCTTGCACTGCTCACCTATTTTCGGCAAAAATGTCTTGGTGCAATTGACAAGGACATATTTTTATTATTTTTACAAATGTTCAGGTAAATTTAATGTCAAAATGTTTCCAAAGTCAACTATTTCCATTTCAAAACACAAATAGTAATGAAAACATTAAAAAACATTAAAATATAGCCAAATTAAAAAACAAAAAGCACAACTCTCTGAGCGCCTAAAGGCGCTTTGCGCAGTGCAGTGGTTAATGAAATGGACAGATTTATCATTTCATAAGAAAAAAATTAGAAAAATATATAAATTCAGGAAAACTTGGCTTATTAGACAAATCGGGCCTTGCATAGTAGGCCAAGTACGACGTTCTGGCTACAAGGTACAACATACATATACATACATATATATATATATATATATATATATGTCGTACCTAGTAGCCAGAATGCACTTCTCTGCCTACTATGCAAGGCCCGATTTGCCTAATAAGCCAAATTTTCCTGAATTATTATACAGTATTTTCTCGAATTTTTTTCTTATGAAATGATAAAGCTACCCATTTAATTATGTATGAGGTCAAATTTTTTTTATTGGAGTTAAAATTAACGTAGATATATGACCGAACCTAACCAACCCTACCTAACCTATCTTTATAGGTTAGGTTAGGTTAGGTAGCCGAAAAAGTTAGTTGTGTACACGGATGCGTCGTCTCTCGGCTGGGGTTTTGTGACCAGTGCTCACCAGGCCGGCCAGGGGCGTTGGGATCCGTCCTTCCGTCGAGCTCACAGTACGGTGCGGGAGTTCGCGGCAGTGTGGTTTGCTCTGGGGAGGATTCGGGTGGCCCGCGGATCGACGATTCGGCTCCATTCGGACTGCTCTCCGGTGGTTCATTGCCTGAACCGCGGGGGTTCGATGCGGTCCTTGTCTCTTTGGGGTTGGTCGCTTCGGGTGACTCGTCTGCTGAGTTCTCGGGGTTTGGCTCTCCTGGCGGTTCACGTACGGGGCGTGTCCAACGTCTTGGCCGACGCCCTGTCTCGCTTCGTTCCCCTCTCCACGGAGTGGACGGTCGACGACGAGTCCTTCCGTTGGCTTTGCCAGACGTTCGGGCGCCCCGAAGTGGACCTCTTCGCGTCGGCGTGGTCGCGGCGTCTTCCCGTTTATGCGGCGCCCTTCCCCGATTGCGAGGCCGTCGGGGTCGATGCCTTTCGGCTCGACTGGTCGAGGTGGGGGTTCCTGTACCTCTTTCCCCCGGTTCGGCTGTTGCTCTAGGTCCTGACTCGCTTAGAGACTTACCGGGGGAGAGTTGTCCTTCTGGCCCCTTGGTGGCCGGCCCAGCCTTGGTTTCAGGCGCTGGTTGCTCGGTGTCCGAACCCGAGGGTTTTCCCGCGGCTCCGCCTCTTTCAGCAGATCGGGCCGGTACATCACGTACCTGGTTCGATCTTCTCCTCGAGTCTTCGCGTATGGTTTTTTTGACTCGAGTCTATCATCATCTCTATGGTGATCAGGTGGCCTCCTTGTTGGTGTCCCACCTGAGGGCTTCTTCTCGGCGGCAGTATGAAGTTTCCTGGCGGTCCTTCCGTTTCTTTTTGCGTCTTCGTCGTGTTAGCTCTTTGTCTGTTCGGGTGGTCTTGTCCTTCCTCTCGTGGTTGTTTCAGGACCGTCATCTTATGCCAAACACTGTCGCTTCGTATCGTGCGGCGCTGGCGGAGCCGCTTCAGCTTGCTTTCGGTATCGATGTTATGTCTGCGCTGTTTCGCAAGCTGTCTCGTGCATTGTTTCACCTCCGGCCTGCTCATGCGTCGCCTGAGCCGTCCTGGTCTTTGGACAGAGTGCTCGCTTTCCTTTCATCTCCTCGTTTCGTTGTGGCCCCTTCGGTCCAG